ATATGGCTCCTTGATCGCCGGAGCAACCCAAATAGCTCTTTATTATGAGTTACAGGGGCAGTGACACAAAGTCCCAATTTGGGATATGTGAATTGCCTCCAGCTGGGATTGAACTGTGGTTCATAGGTTAGCCCTATCCTGCCTTAGTCCACTGGACTATGACCGGGTAGGTCTAGTCTAAAATAGTACATATAATCTTATTGATTTTTCAAAGATCATATACATGTAATATAAAGTGAAACAATGAAATAATAAACTAGTGTTTCATTTTAATTATCCTAATATATTTAAAATCTCTTACTAATAATTAGAGAAATTAAAAATAAAACAAAATAGAACTATTGGTATTTGTAAACTCATACTATTATAATATCAAATATCTTTTGGGATTGGGCATCACATGTCATATGTCATATACTAAATATCACCTGTATATATCACATGTCCTAGATATAATAAAGAATTATTAATTCATGATATTTCAAGTTCCAGATATTCTAGAAAAACATAGATTAGACCATTGTATTCTTAGAGTATTTCTTCTTCTATTGGCTTGTTTATATCACATGTATAAATTTTTAAATTATAAAAATTTTTTATATTTATATATGTAAACTGCCAATCAAAATATTTAAGATATGATGCAAGCTTCTTAATTAATATATATGGAATTAAATATGAAAAAGTTTAAGAATACAGGCAATTATTAAGATATAAATTAGAAAAAAAAAAAGAAAAAAGAAAGTTAATAATATTATTAAAACCATCAAAGTTATTAAGTTTACTTAAAGAAAAAAGTTAACAAATTATAGAAAAAAGAAAAGTATTTATTTAAGAAATATACTTTATTATTTTAAGTTTTAATAAAAAAAATTAATCAAGTTGATTTATTAGGCAACAAAAAAAAAGAAGAAAAAATTATAAAAAAATTTAAAAAAAATTTTTAAAACAAAATTAAGAAAAAAAAAATAATTAAGAATATAGAATATAATCAAAATTTTGAAAAAACAAATTATATTAATGAATTATAAACAATAATTTCAAAAAATATTTTGAAACAAGTATATAAGAATAAGTAATTTTATTTATTTTCAAGATTATATTTAGAAATAATTTTATCTAAGACAAATATTTAAGTATTATTCAAAAAGTTTATATATAAAAGTTATTAAACCACTATATATTCTATATTAAAATTAAACAAACTTTATAAATACTTGTTTAATTATAAAAAAAAAATATTGTATTAAAAATTTTATATATAATAAGTTAATATTAACTTGACCTGTGGATCTATAGCACAGTGGTTAGTGCTTCGCAGGTCAGATCACAAGATAATGGTTCAAATCCTCCAGAGGACTAACGTAGAAACCTCAAATCAGAAGAAATGGATTGGCATCTTCTGATTGCTATCACAAGATACCAAGTTCGATTCCTGGTAAAGGCAATTGAACCGTCTCAAAATGATATCTGGCGCCAATAACCTAATATGCACTGTTTCCTATAAGAAGCCAGTTCACACGTTGATTTAACGAGTATTAGGATTGTGATACTAAGAAAGGCATAGTGATGTAACGATCGTCTGGTAGTGTTACGATGATCGTTGTCAAGTTTGGTGCCTCCCCCCGTTTCTTATGCATGGAGCACGCTTCCTTACCTCTTTAGTTCACAAGACTATAAAAGAAACAATCTGTTTTTCAAGATGACCAAGTCAGAGTCACAAAGACTCCTTGTTGGATATGGCTAGTCCGCGGCTGATCATAGTAGGATACAGTTTTTTGAGTTTCTATTCATTGGATGGTGGGTGGGACTGGAAGGCACACATCCTAGCACATTAACACTCTACCTATGCTATTAGGACCCTGGTGTTGATAATATAGGAAGAATGGAGGACAATAAGCCAACCGGTGAGTAAGTCATAAGAACTTTTTCTAGGTAGTTTTCATTAGATATAGATAGGTAGTAGTCAGTTCCCATAAAGGAAATATATATGTACCATAAATTCTCCTAATAAAACAAAGTGTACGCTAGTCGTTGAAAAAAAAAAAAAAATTAATATTAACTTTAATAAGTACTTAATATAATGTAATATTATTAATTAATTAATAAAGTCTTGTGTTTTTACTTATTTATAATAAAAAATAAAATAAAATAAAATTTAAAATAAAAAATAAACTTATAATTATTAAGATTTTTTATATTTAAGTATATAAATTATTGTATAAAATACATATTAAAATATAATATAAGCGACCTACCCGGTTATAGTCCAATGGGCTAAGGCAGGATAGAGCTAACCTATGAACTACGGTTCAACCCCAGTTGGGGGCAATTCACATATCCCAAATAGGACTTTGTGTCACTGCTCTTGTAACTCGTGATAGAGAGCAATTTGAGTTGTTCCGGCGATCAAGGAGCCTTATGGGTAGACTATACCCTATAGGTCAAAAAGATAGATGATCTAATTGGTAAAACTTTCTGATCAAGTATTGCCCAGGAAATATCTCCAAAAGGGGGAAGAAGTTTTATGAGATCTTTCCAGTAGTGGAAGGAAAGGTACAGACAGCTAAAACCATTAGTCGCACAACTATCAGTAAGAGTTTTACATGTCCGTTGGTAGCGAGGATCTGGTCGGGATTGTAGAAGGTCGCTTGTATTACGGGATGTTCTATCCTAAGGGGTACACTTGCGACGGTTGACTATATATCCCATAAATTGTAATCCCTCGCATGTGTTGCTAGGTTAGATTAGGAAGGATGAGGCTGGGTTCGATTTCCAAGCGAATTTGATATACTGGTGTACCCTCATCCCGCCAATGATATCTTATTGACTAAATCCTAGTAAGTCTTGGCTAAACTAAATGGTTGAAATACTGTAGTAGGTGGCTGCAGGCAATGATTATCTTGACTTGATAGTAAAAAATCTTGCCTTGAATATAGCAACTTTCCACCCCTTTTGTCTATACTTAGAGGCTTAGGCCTAAGATAAGTATTTAGGACCTAACATTACCACCTGTACCTTGGAGAAACACCGGGAGACTGGCAAAAAGGTGATAAAAGAAGTACCTGAGTTGATGGCAAAGGTAAAAAAATATATATATATAATATAAGCTTTTAAAATAATATCTAAAATTTTAAATATGAAAAAATTCAAGAATATAAAATATAAAACATAAAACAACAACAACAACAATAATAATAAAAACAAAGCTATATATGTATATTATTAAGATTACTTGAATTTATTAAGAAAAAAAAAATCAAAAAATTTCAAAAAAAAAAAAAAAAAAAACTCAAAAAAACATATACGTATTACTATTTTCAAGTTTTATTTAAAAAAGCATAGTTAAAAAAATCTATTATATAATACAAATAAAAAAAATTATGAAAAAACTATCTTCAAAATCATAATTTTATTAGATACAGGTATTCAAATATTATATCTAAAAGTTTATGCATAAAAGTAACTAAACTATTATATATTTTGTATTAAGATTAAATAAACTTTATAAATACTTGTTTAATTACAGAAAAAAAAAAAAAAAACTTTATAATAAGAATAAACTATTATACTGTATTATGAATATTATCATAGAAACTAAAATATTACCGTACCACAATTGGACTGGATACGAATCAATGAACGCCAAAATATATACAAACATTGACATTCACTCATTTAACCCTTTTTTTCCACTGACTGTGGTGGGCTCCGATTCGACGCAAAGTTTGCCCCCACTTTTTCTTCAGTGGACATTCCCACCACCTACCGTCTAAGTTTTATACTGGTTTTTAACGACCTTTCAACGGATACAAAAGTGGCTTCGAGGATCTGAATTTATTTTTTTTGATCGACTTAGGCAAGAAAAGTTCTTACCACTTAACCAGTACGGACTCAAATTTTTGAGACTAAAAACCCAAAAGGGGTTCACACATACATAGTATAGAATCGGAAACGAACATTTCTATTTTTCGATAGGACATTAATGAGTTCACAGAAGGAAACATCCGGGCCTGTAGGCGCAGAAACAACGAATAATCAAAATGATACCAGCACCACAGCTATTTCAACAGAGAATGATTTGAAGGAAAATCACGTTGAAAAAAAAGATCCTAAAGCCGCTGGAACAACAGAGTATTCCTCCAGTACAAACCAAAATGCGCCCTTACCGTCGTCTCCAACACCGGATTTATATTATGCTAACGGACAGAGTTATATAGACCAACAAACTGCCATCGCAGCCGAGGCATATCAGGCTGCTATGGCAGGTGGTTATGATCCAAGCGATCCGCATGCATTTGCAGCTTATGGTCATTATGGAATGCACCCATCATACTCACAATATTATTCTGCTGACTATGGAGCCGGGTTTCCAGGGACGCCTCCGCTTCAAGGACAAACATCGCCTTCGCTAACACCTCATCAACCTTTGAGTCCTTATTTTGCTGCGACTAGTCCGCCAATAGCTTATTATCCTACTTCACCCCAAGTCGGACCAACTGCGTTGATTCATTCACCTCCGATGCATCCATACTTATATTCGCCGCAATCACCTTATGGAATGCTCCATACACTTTCACCCACGCTTTCTCATACTTCTTCATCTGCCCCTAACTCCCCTCCTCCACAATATTTACCCGGACCGGGTGTTCCATCACCCAAAGTTGGTCCTCTGAACAACAATAATGGTCGTAGCAATATTAATCGTTCTCAACCTCATTACAATTATGGTAGAAGAAATTCAGGTTCTCATCAAATCCCGAACCTTCCCAACTTTAGTAATCCAACAAAAACAACTAATATTTATATCCGTGGCCTGCCTCCAACCACAACTGACGATTCTTTGCATAAAATGTGTTCAATGTTAGTAATTCTTTTGCTGTCGTACAAAGCAGTGGTACTTAATTAAGTTTACAGTGAACATGAAGTTTATGTCATTAATGATGGATGCACTAAAAAAGACCAACTATTAATTCTAAGAGATTTCTACCAAAAGTTAGAATTCAAACAAAATGTTTACTTATTGTTACGACTTTTATTATGTACATAGATATGGTTCCATCACGTCTTCAAAAGCGATTATAGATCAAAAACAAGGCGATTGCAAAGGATACGGCTTTGTAATGTATGAATCTGAAGAACAGGCGAAACACGCAATTGAACAATTAACGCGATTGGGATTGCAAGTTTCCTTCGCAAAGGTTGGTTATGTGAGTGTAGCCTGTATTAAAAAAAATTTTTTTTTTCCTTTAATATGCAATGAACACGAATTTATGACAGGCTTTTTTCTTGAATTACTAGGAATCATTCAGCACGAAACTAAAGAATCTGCAGGACTTGGCTTCGACAAATATCTATCTGTCAAATTTACCTTTGGATATGAATGAACAGGTGAATACATGTAAACATGTATCTCATTTCTTGATGAAAACCCGAAGTCATTATTTAAATTTGATACTGTTCGGTACATCTTTTTAGCAATTAGAAGAGATTTTCAAGCCATATAAAGTTGTATCTAATAGAATCCTCAGAGATAATGATGGAACGAGTCGTGGGGTTGGATTTGCTAGGTATCATGGGATATGTGATTTATTTAGCTCACGCGATGATGGACTCGACCTTTTATTTACGATATTCAACTGACCTTTTAGGATGGAAGATAGGGATTCTGCATTGGCTATTATTCAAAAATTTAATGGACATCAGCTTCCCGGGGCAAGTTTGCCTCTCCAAGTACGATTTGCAGATTCTTTGGCGCAAAAGAAACTAAAGGGACAAACGGCAAAAAAACGCATGTGGAGATCCCGAGAATTTCCATTAGGCGGAGTAAGTAATTTTCCCGTTTATCATTTCATTATGCTATTGTATTGTTACAAAGCTTGAATCAGAGTTTCTTCGATTAATAAATAAACATATTTTTTAGAGAATGATTCCACAAGTGCCCGTCACTCCCGAGCATATGTTAGGTATGGCTCCAGGTTCTCCACCTGGTCCTGGTTATCTTCAGTACTATCCAGATGGGGTTCAAGCTGCGGGGTAATTGACATTATCAATTTATATAGGATTTTAAAATTTGTGATGTCTCAATTGTACGTTTATGCCTATGAAAATTTTTTTTTTTATATTATCATAGTGCATATCCTCCAGGATCGATCTCTCCTCCTTTTGGTCCTCAATATCTTAGATACTACCAACCAATTTATCAAGGACCCGTTGTACAGCACGGAACAGAGGATCAAATTGTGACAGCACCAACAGCTAATCCACCTGAACATGATATAATTCCTGGCCCTTCCAATGAAGATACTGCAGAAGAATTGAGCGAATTGATTCAAAAGAAGCTGACTGTTGATGGAGGTAACGAAAAAGATGCCAACACTGAAGGCGAAGAAACTAAATAATGATGTGTATATGAACTTGATGCAGTTGAGGTATGTGATGACATTTCAAATAGGTAAGATTACAGAGAATTGTTATTATTATATTTTTTATTATTAATATCATTTAATTATTTTCGCGTTGTTGTTTTCCCATTTAGCATCATATATTTGAACATTCAATCTTTATTTTATTTTCATATTTCTTATTCTGATTTTTGTAGTAGTTTTAAAGATTGTCTAGATTGGTGTGAGAGAAATCCTTTTATACTTTTTTTATTATTATTCTCCTACTTTTATTCTGTCTCATGTTGTGCAATGTTGTGCAATTACGTTTTAATTTTCATCCTTCTGCCTCTGGACCCTTAAATAAGCAAACGTCATCACCAACCACTTTCATTCCATTTTAACACGATGAATCGTTTGAACACAAAACCAACGAGCTAGCTATGCTACTGGTTTGACGCTCATCTTCCCTTTGTATTTAAAATATCCGACTCTGTTGAACTACTTAAGCACTCGGAGTTTATGATGAATTAAATTCAGCAACATCCGTCTAATAAGCATTGGTATGACGCTTATTAGGAGCAGAGGCTCATCAATTCACATGATTGTTGTTTTTTTGATATCATAACTTGATTAACTTTTTTCTTTTCGAACAGTAATATTGTAAAAAACAATACTAAGTTGGGGTTCCCATATGTTGAACAAAACGAGGTGAGTACCTTTGTGTTTGCGTTATTTTGCAAATTCCGAATTCACTTACAACCTTCTCTTTAATTCAGGCATCATTTAAAAAATTCGAATGTCAGTGAACATTATGTTGTTTCTTTTTTTTGACAAATTCGACGTATATTACGAAGTCAATGGTTGAACAATGAGATAGTAGTGTTTTTTTTTTCTTTTTTTTTTTCTCTTTTTTTTGAACTATTTATTATTTTATTCATATCCTGTGGTATTTGTATTTTTCTCTTTCTTTTAAATACATTACATATATTATTATTGGACGATTTATTATCGTTGTAAATGTGATTGGCTGTTTCATTTATTTTTAATAGCTTGTAAAGAAAAGTAAAGAGCACAAATGTGTAGTTTTTTAATAATTATACTTTTATAAAATTTTAATGTTTTTAAATATACACTATCTCAGCTTTCCCCTTTTACTTGACTCTAACCGCCAGTTAAATCCGAGTGCAAGTTATTTTTTCCGGATGCACGCATGCATTCCTTTATTTACGTATAATTTTAAAGAACCGTTATTCACTATACTAGCCCGGCTGGCGTAATTGGATAACGCACCAGACTTCTATTCCAGATGCAATCTGGGGATTGCGGGTTCGAGTCCCGCGTCGGGTACAGAATTTTTTTTTTGGAAATTTTACAATAAGATTCTACACTGAATAGTCACGGGACATTTCCCTTAATCAAGACTCAAAATGTTATTTTTATAATACAATTTATATTGTGTGTAACAACAATGTCCCTTAACTGTGAAGGGCGATCCTATTCTAAGATCAATTTAAATAATTTTATATAGATTAAAGTAGGATCGCCATTCAGTGTAACAGTGTCGACGGTGAAATAGTGAAATCATTATTTTTGATGACAGTATATAAAGCCTGTGCCAAATTACCGGATACTGCGTCAGTGAAGTCGGCAAAATGAGCAGCAGTTCAACACATCCTACAGCAGAAAATTCAACAGTGAATGCTGAAGAGACTCTTCCTTCTTCGAGTGGTTCGGCAGTGGCTGATTCAAAAAACATTCAAGTGTTAAATGATGAGGCCTTTAAAGCCTTCATTTTACAAGATTTAGAAACTGCAGTTGAAAAGTTTTCCGAGGCTTCCGAACTTATGTAAGTCTTTTAGCGCGTGCTGATGTGATGTCGTTAACGCGTGAGATTCGACTATAATTTTTTAAACGCGTATTATTACTCCTTTTTCCTTTAATACATTTAGCGGTCAATTTTATGGAACGGATTCTGAAGAATATGCAGAAGCATTATATAACTACGGACACGCTTTACTAGAGAATTCCAGGACGCAGGCCACTGCTCTTGGACCTCAGGCAATTCCACAAGAACCCACCGCAGAAATACCAGTTGGTATGATCGCTTAATGGAGGAGTACTGTCTGCATTTTGGTTAAGCTCACGCATTGTGTTTACACATCATATTTAGAAACTTCCCAGGTGAACACCTCAAACTTCGTTTTCGAAGGGGATTCTGATAGTGAAGATTATATCAACAATGGGGACGAGGCCGTTGGTCAAGTAGAAAGATCGACCACACAGGATCCACTCGAAGAACAGACGGACGACCTCAGTCTTGCGTGGGAAATACTGGAGTATTCTCGAGAAATATATTCACAAATTTCAAGCGAGTCAGCGAAGAGAAATCTCGGCGAGGTGTATATAAAATTGGGTGATGTGTCGCTTGAAAACGGTAACGAACATTTACATCATTTTGACATTAAGGCAAATATTCTTTACGTAGAAACATAATATGTTTGAATTTAATATTATTGTTCAGAGAAGTTTGATCAAGCTGCGATCGATTATAGAGAGGGACTCCGAATTAAGAAAGAAACGCTTTCCGAAGATAATCGACAAATAGCCGAAGCATATCCTTTCCTTGTGTAATAGTTTAATTAAGAACAAATCATACTGTAAATAGGATTCTTTAACTATCTCAATTACTCATTGGAGGTTGGCTTTGGCACTCGAATCAATTTCCGACACAGCTAGTCAAGAAGAAGCCATTGAACACGTCCAGAAGGCAATTGGCGTACTGCAAAAACGCAAGGAAATTTTACACGATAAATTGTCGGCGCACCAAGAAGTGTTAGGAAAAGGTAAGAAAGTAGCCACTGTTGAAGATCCTACCGTGGCTATTGACAAGGAAATGAAAGATATCGATGAATTGTTGATAGACATGAACTCAAAGGTAAAAATGAATGATATATCGTATATTCTGTACCATAAGTTTGTAAGTGTTTTGTGATATTTTAGGTGGAGGATATTAAGACATTAATTAGCCAAGAGCAAAAAGAACTTAATCCCAGTGAGTTGGCGCTTGAAGAGTACGTAAAATTGATGTCTTCTTCAACTTTGTCTGAATTGGCATCAGAGGCGACAAAGGTATCGTCAGTGGATGCCATGAAACAAGTGAATGATGTTACATCGTTGATCAAAAGAAAGGTCGTTACCAACTCCAGTAACTTTGCCGATGGTACAACCGATATGATTGTCGATAACAATGCATCTGATCAAATACAACAAGGTGAAAAGAAACGCAAAGCTGAAATTAAATCTGAAGGTGATGAAGGAAATGAAGATAATTTGAATAAGAAAGCTAGACAGGCTTCCTAGTTGAGAATT